GGTGGGCTTTTTGAACTAATAGTCCCAATATGCTATCAAGAAATAAACTACATAGGGGTGCCTGGGTGGCTCAGTTGGTTAGGTGTCTGCCTTCAGCTCAGGTCATGATCCTGGGGTCCTGGGTTCAAGCCCCTTGCATCTCCCTCTATTGCCTCCCCTGATTATGCTCTCTCCCTCTCTCTCAAATAAAATCTTAAAAAAGGAAGGAAGAAAGAAAAAAGAAGAAAGAAAGAAAGAAACTACATAGAAGCCATCTTTGATTCATTTACATAGCAGTAACAGTTGCTAATTGCTGGCCTAGATAATCCTCTAGGTCAAAACTATTGTTACTCTGTTCCAAGTATTTTGAACTCCTGTCATCTTAGGGTGTACTTTCACTTCTAGTAAAGCCACATGAAAATATAAGAAGTGATCCAAAAGGGATAATGTGTTCCTGCTCTAACTGCTGACGTTAACTGATAATTGTTCTTTACTATAAAGCAATGGTTCTCGAAGTGTGGTCTATAGATCCTACAGTCTGAAACCCTTTTAGGGTTGTGAGCTAGGATAGTCACTTTATTCATGCAACATTATTTTTACTTGAAAGGACAGCTGACAACCAAAGGTTGTTCAGACTTGTGTACTTATCAGACTATTTCTTTTTTTTTTTAATAAATTAATCAACATAGAGTCTATTATTAGTTTCAGAGGTAGAATTTAGTGATTCATCAGTTTCATGTAACAACCACTGCACATTACATCAAGTGCCCTCCTTTTTTTTTTATAATTAAATCTCTTTTACCACTTTAATCATTTCAAGGAAAGGATTTGTTGCTTTGTTGAGTCTTACTTTTGTGTGTCTGTTTTCAGGTTTTTTTTTTTAAGATTTTATTTATTTATTTGACAGAGAGATCACAAGCAGGCAGAGAGGCAGGCAGAGAGAGAGGAGGAAGCAGGCTCCCCTAGAGAGCAGAGAGCCCGATGCGGGGCTCGATCCCAGGACTCTGAGATCATGACCCGAGCTGAAGGCAGCGGCTTAACCCACTGAGCCACCCAGGCGCCCCTCAAGTGCCCTCCTTAATGTCCATCACCTGGTTACCCTGTCTCCCCACCCACTTCCTAGCCAGCACAGATTATTCCTGAAAAAGAGCAAAATGAGCCTGTTACTTCAAATAATTCTTTTAAAGATTTTATTTATTTATTTGACAGAGAGATAGAGAGCACAAGTAGGCAGAGTGGCAGGCAGAGGGAGAGGGAGAGGGAGAAGCAGCCTCTCCACTGAGCAGCAACCCAGTGTGGGGCTCAATCCCAGGACCCTTGGATCATAACCCGGGCAGAAGGCAGCCACTTAACCCAGTGAGCCACCCAAGGCACCCCAGCCTATTACTTCAAAGAAAACAAATGTCAGAGTTTGTTGCCAATGATAAAATTTTAGCTTTCAAATGGATTTTGGAAAATTTGTAGCTGCCATTATTAACTTGACAACTATCTAATGGTCATATTAACAAATGTGATTTTTTTTTTTGCTATAATAAAATGTGTAGACATTGGAAGATCCATATTACTAAGAGAACCAATATTTTCCAAACTACCAACGCATGACATTGCAAAATCACGTATGGGTAAAAGATCTGATCAAAATACAAGACAGACCAGTGGACTGTAATGTGAGTGTATAAAAATTTTATTGATATATTTTCACCTTCCACACTGCAACTAACCTTTAAGAAATGACCACTTACTGAGTTTGGGGGTAATATCAAAGAAGAGTGTCCACTGGGTAACCAGAAAGATAATGAAGGTAAAATTAGCAAAGGTTGATTTGATAATATGTTGCCACCCAAGTTGTCCTGAGACAAATATAACAGAACTTTAATAGAACTATTTCAGCTAAGGTTCCAGGACTAGAGGTACCAGCTACTCTCTTATTCCAGTGAAATTCAAGACCACCTGTATATGACTTGCAAATGCTTGGCTGAAATCTGATTTTGAAATCCATGGCACTTCATCCATTCAAAGATACAAAAGTGTTACAGTGAGAAGGGACAGAGAGTTGGAAGTTGAAGAAAGGATTTCTTTGAAGACAGTTCTGGAAAGAGGGTTGGCGGTGCTTACTTTTCCATTCAAGCCTAGTGAAAGGAAACTCTAAGGAGATCGGTTGGAGAGTCTGATATGTCCCTTGGAGCTTGGGGGACACAGGACGCTAATATCAGACCCACATCTGAGAAAACTAAGGGCAAAAGGCTATGGCAAGAGTCTCTGAAGCTAAAGGGAAGACTGAGGTTGGGACGTACCTGTACTGTCATTGCCTAAAGTATGTGTTTCCTGTGGTCATATGAGGGCTGCCAAGGGGTTGCCTTATATTTTGCTCAAGAAAGCAACCCAGCTAAGTTAGGAAACCTGAGCAGAAAGAGACTGAAGGTATATTGCTGCATGCCTGGGGACAGAAGAAGAAAATAATAGCTACTAACTGGAAGAGACATGCTGGCTTGAATCAAAAGAACTGCAGATAGGAGGTATATGCAATGATGAAGGGCTGGTAGGAAGTAGACCCTGAAGAACCCCAAAAGTGCCCCACTTCTGAGAGAGGATGGATCAGCTCACCCATAGGGCCTGGAGTGCTGACACCTGATCACAGTAGGATTGGTCAAAACTTTCCCTTCCAGTACCTCTGTTCCTACTTATCCCAGTCCCAACTTGTACTAACATTGGTAGGATCAGAAACCATATGGGAAAGCTGGGGAAGGAAGAAGAGAAGTGAGGAATGGTAAAATACAGAAGCCAAGAACGTCCCCTTACCCATTGCAGCCAAATCTGAGCTGACTGGAGGGAGCAAAAGCTTTAACTTGAGCTTGTTTGGAGTACTGCATGGACCTAAGACATTTTAATTACTGAAATGAGAGGTTTCAGTGACATGGAATGGCAAGACATTTTAATTACCTGAGAAGGATAAGTCAGTGGCACCTAAGATTTTATCTGGCAGTAGGGAAAAATTAGTCTCTTTAGAGCAGATTTGTAATAAAGTAGTGTGAAGAAAATAGAATCACTTTACAAGTACCCCTTGCTTGTTCAATATATTGATCAAATGCACACATAGCTCAGTGGATAGATTTACACACCTTGATTGGTATTCTGGAAAGATTATCAGAGATTGCTCTTATTACATTCTGTATACTGTGGTCTCCTCTAACTTAAAATAAGAGCCTACTGGTTAGAATACAATTTTCTGCCTTGTTTGATGACCAGGGAACCTCTGTTGGCCTTCTCACAAATCCCAGGATAATGTATGCAAGTACCAATCTCCTGCACTCAGTCCCATGACTTTTTCTTGTTCTAAGTGATTTTCTTTAAATTATTATTACTAATTTTAATAGATAAAACCATCCAATGATAGAAAATTCAAAAGGTACAAAGGGTGTATAGTACAGGGTTTTTCCTACTCTTGTCCCTGAACAACTTTCCTTGGAGGTAAGCACTGTTAAGTTTCTAATGTCCTTTATGGCTTTAGTTTTTTGAGAAGTGTCTTGGCTCAAAAGATCTAGTCTTCGTAATAGATGTCACTGATACCAAATACATTGTATACTTGGTTTACATTGACAGTCCAAACATAAGAAAGAACAGAGGTTGTTAAAAGGACTTCTAGGATCATAACTCAGCCTAGAGGAGTAACTGTTTAGACTGTAATCAGAGAAATGAGCTGGAAGGACTGGGCATCAGTGCTGACTTCCAAGTGAGGTATAGGTTATACTGTGGTATGTGGCCACTGCAGGCATAATGCAAAAATGTGGTTTCAGGACACAGTTGTATGTATCATGGCTCTTTTTTCCCCACAATAATATAGTATTTTATTCATTATTTTATATAAATTATGACACAAAAGTGATATTTTTACAATTTTAAAATTTATGTTCTTATACATTACGATTATCTGTCTATTGGATTTTATAAGTAATAAAATATTTTTAAAGGTAAAATCTTTTCTTTTACTATCTTTAGTGGTCCTTCCTTTCTCCCTCCCTTTCTCCCTCCCTCCCTCTCCTCTTTTTATTTCTCCTTCCTTCCTTCCTTTCTTTTTAAAGTAGGCTCCACACCCAGCATGGAGTCCAACAAAGGGCTTGAACTCACAACCCTGAGATCAAGACTTAAGCTGAGATCAAGAGTTGGATACTTAATGAACTAAGCCACCCAGATGTCCTTTTTTCTTTAAAAAAAACTTTTTTTGAGTATAGTTGATATGCAATATTATATTAGTTTCAGGTGTACAATATAGTGATTCAATATCTATATTATGCTATCCTCACCACAAATGTAGCTACCATCTGTCACCATACAACAATATCACTGGTTATATTCCCTATGCAGTACTTTTATTTCTAGTATCATGGCTCTTACACAGAACAAATGGGCTGTGACTACTTTGTTCTCCTTCAGTGAAGTATCATATTAGCTTAAGAATCCAAATTGTTCTCAATATATTATGCTATGCTCACCAAAAATGCAGCTACCACCTGTTACCATACAACATCATTGGCTATATTTCCTATGCTGCACTTTTTATTTCCAGTATCATGTCTCTTATGCAGGTCTAATGGGCTGTGACTACTTTGTTCTCCTTCAGTGAAGTATGTATCACATTAGCCGAAGGGTCCAAATTGGTCTGAATCTCAATGGCTATAGTTTGATGAGATTAGAGTCAACAGGTCATTTAGCATATTTAATAGATGTAATAGTATAAACCTGATTTTTTTTTTTTTGTCTACGTAAAACATCATGTTTAATATCAAGACCACTACCATCATCATCATGACTAGCATTTATTGAGTTGTCACTATGGGCTAGCCACCATATAAGGTGCTGTCAGATAATTATCATGACTAAGCTTATGAGGTAGGTATTGCTAATATATCCATCTTCCAGATGAGGAAACTGAACAATGGAATGCGTTGAATAGTCTACTTAAGATCACACAGTTACTAAAAGATGAAGCCAAGATTTGAACCCACCCAGTCTATCATACTAACCTGTTATTAGGGGGCATCCGTGGAAGAGTAATATACGTATCTGAGGACAGCAAGTGAGGACAGCTTCTACAGCCTCATCAGTCAGATTCACACAGTGTCCCATATGAATCTCCTATTTAAAAATAAAGAAAGGATAGTCAAAAGAAAAAACAGATTTGTGATGACAGCATGAAAAAGCATGGGCAATACTTTGATACAAAAAGAACTAGGGGTGCCTGGCTGGCTCAGTTGGAGGAGCATGAGACTCTTGATCTTGAGGTCATGGGTTTGAGCCCCATGTTGGGTGTAGAGATTACTCAAATAAATAAAACTTAAAAAATAACAAACTGTGGTGCCTGGGTGGGTCAGTCAGTTAAGCATCTGCCTTCAGCTCAGGGTCCTGGGATCAAGCCCCATATTGTCAGGCTCTCTGCTCAGTGGGGAGGTCTGCTTCTTCCCCTTCCTCTCCCTCTGTGCTCATGATCTCTTTCTCTCTCTCAAATATATAAATAAAAACATCTTTAAAAAACAACAACAGGGGCGCCTGGGTGGCTCAGTGGGTTAAAGCCTCTGCCTTCAGCTCGGGTCATGATCCCAGGGTCCTGGGATCGAGCCCCACGACCGGCTCTCTGCTCAGCAGGGAATCTGCTTCCTCCTCTCTCTCTCTGCCTATTTGTGATCTCTGTCTGTCAAATAAATAAATAAAATATAAAAAACAACAACAACAACAACAACAAACAAACAAAAAGAACCAAATTATCTATTTGCAAGAAACATTCTATAGAAAGGACTAATGAAAAGTATGCAATAATTTGTAAAGTAGAGATGATTTAAAATTTAAGCCAACCATTTTATAAAGCAATATAGCAAAATCTATTAAAACTGAAAATAAGTATATCCCAGAACCCAGCAGTTCTAATTGAAAATGTATACCATATACAGAGTAACTCTTATATATGTACCCAAGGAAACAATTTATAAATGTGCTCATTTTAGTATTATTTATAAAAGTAAAAAAGTGGACAATGGGTAAACAAATGGTAGTTTATTAATGGAACAGATGAAACAGTTAAAATGAAAAATATCTACTTGTATTAATAGACATAAATCTCAAATAGTAAGTCATATCTTTTAAAGCTGAATGTGTACTTACTATATGACCCAGCAATCCCATTCCTAGGTGTTTTTTTTTTTTTCAAGATTTTATTTATTTACTTGACAGAGAGAAATACAGCAAGAGAGGAAACACAAGCAGGGGGAGCAGAAGAGGGAGAAGCAGGCTTCCTGCTGAGCAGGGAGCCCTAGGGCGCATGATCCCAGGACCCTAGGATCATGACCTGAAGGCAGACACTTAACGACTGAGCTACCCAGTAAACACCCATCCCTAGGTGCTTACCCAAGAAAAATAAAAATGTACGTCTACACAAAGACTTGTATGCAATTTTTTAAAAAAAGATTTTATTTATTTATTTGACAGAGAAAAAGATCATAAGTAGGCAGAGAGGCAGGCAGAGAGAGAGGGGGAAGCAGGCTCCCTGCTGAGCAGAGAGCCCGATGTGGTGTTCAATCCCAGGATGTTGGGATCATGACCTGAGCCGAAGGCAGAGACTTTAACCCACTGAGCCACCCAGGCACCACTTGTATGCAAATTTTTACAATAGTATTCATAACAGTCCAAAATTAGAACCACCCAACTGTCTATCAAATGGGGAATGTCTGAACAAACTGTGTCATATCCACACTATGGAATATTACTCAGCAAAATAAACAAATAAATAAAAGGAATGAAATACTAACACATGCAACAACATGAATGAATCTCAAAAACATTGTGCTAAGTGAAAGAAGTAAAAGAAAAAAGTAAAAACCAAAAAACTGTGCATTGCATGACTCCATTTCTAGAATGAAATTCTAGAAACTTTAAAACTATAATGACAGGGAGGCCTAGGTAGCTCTATTCATTAAGCGGCTGCCTTCAGTTCAGGTTGTGATCCCAGGGTCCTGGGATTGAGTCCTGCATGCGGTTCCTGGCTCAGCAGAGAGCCTGCTTCTCCCTCTGACTCTGCTTGATGTTCCCATGCTTGTACTCTCTCTCTCTCTCTGTCAAATGAATAAACAAAATCTTAAAAAAAAAAAAAAAGCTATAATGACAAAGTAAATCACTGGTTGCCTGGGGATGGAGGCAGGCAGAGAACTGACTGCAAAGGGATGGGAGAAAACATCGTAGGGTGATGGAAATATTTTATACCTAATTGTGGTGGCAGTTAAAAGCTGTATAACAATTACCAAAATTCATCAAACTGTACACTTAAAATGGGTAAACTTTATTGCATGCAAATTATATCTTAATAAAGCTTGAAAAATTAAACATAATTTTGAATGAAAAGCAAACTGTAATAGAACATATATATTATAAAACTATTATGTTGAAGTTTAAAACATAAGACAACACTTCATCTTGTTTTATGGATCTCTATCTCTATGTGTTTTCCATATATAGGTAAAGTATGCAAACATACAAGGGAAAATACACAGGTGTCTTTAGAACATGGTTACTTTGAAGGAGGAAAGGGAGAAAAAATGTGCGGGGAGCTTTACATGTAAATATAATTTTTAACGAGGAACTGAAATAAGTACAGAAAATGTTAAAATTTAAGCAGCTGGTCCACAGGTTTATGTTATATTACTTTCTGTTCTTTTTCATATGTTAGAGCTATCATATACCCCTCATTTGATGGTCTAATTTGGAACCCTTCTGTACTGGCAATGGGAATGTAAAATGGTACAGCCACTGTGATAACAGTTCCTTAAAAAATTAAACATAGCATTACCATATAATCTAGCTATTTCACTTCTATATACCCAAAGAATTGAAAGCAGGAACTGGAACAGACTTTTGTATACCTATGCTCATAGCAGCAGTATTCATGATAGTAAAAAGGTAGAAACAAATATTGAAAGATGAATGGATAAACAAAATATTTATGTATATATATACAGACACATAAGCATGTACATATATTTACTTATTTGAGAGAGAAAGAGAGAATTCAAGCTGGGGAGAGGGGTAGGGGGAGAGGCAGACTCCCCATTGAGCAGGGAGCCTGACACAGGACTCTATCCCAGGACCCTGAGACCATGACCTGAGCTAAAGGCAGACACTTAACCAACTGAGCCACCCAGGCACCCCAGGAATGAAATTCTGATACACGCAGTGACACAGATAAACCTTGAAAACATTATGCTAAGTGACATTAAGTCAGAAAAAGACAAATGTATGATCCATTTGATGAGGGAGCAGGAGGCTGACTGAGGACAAAGCAAAAGCTGGCACCTTGCACCCCCTCTCCACCCGCTCCCCTCGGTAATATGTGTAGCATTCTTCAGGCACCCCTGACCACCATAAATGAGAAACAAATAGTTAACTTGCAGAGATCACAATCCTGCAAGACAGGAATCTCCTAACTATCTTGATGTTAATGGCTTGCCAAAAGACAACAATGATCAAGCCACAGGAGACCTCTGGTATCCAGCACCTTGTAGGCCCTCTTTAGCATATGAAAGCTCCGTTGAAACCTCCCTTTCCCTCACCTTCCCCCAACCCAGGGTACATAGCCTGCCATCCCTCACAACCTGGGGCAGCTGCATCTTCATCTGCCCACGGGTCATGTCCCCGTGCTTTAATAAACCACCTTTTGCACCAGAGATGTCTTAAGAATTCTTTCTTAGCCGTCGGCTCCAAACCTCACCCCACTGAACCTGACCTAGGTTCTAGGACTTCATCATATTTATATGAGTTATCTAGAATAGGCAAATTCATAGAGACAGAAAGTAGAACAGAAAAAAAAAAAAAAGAAGGAAAGAAAGCAGAACAGAGGTAGCTAAAGGCTGAGGGGAAGGGAAAATGCAGAGATATTCTTTCATGGGTAACGAATTTCAGGGTAGGATGAGGAAAAGTTCTGGAGAGGATTATGGCTATGGCTGCACAACAATGTGAATGTACTTAATTCCACTGAATTGTACACAAAATTGGTTAAAGTGGTAAGTTCTGTGTTATGCATACAGGACCATAATAAAAAACATTTTAAGAATTCTGGAAGTAAGATTTATCTAATAGTTGACATATATATTAATGGTATTAATATTTTTTCCTCCTGAAAAGTTGATATGAATTTGGTTATACATAGTATAATCAATCTATCTCACAAATAAAGGAAACCTGAGTATATTGAAAACTCATAAAAACTGAGGAAAAAAGCATCTTGTTATAAATTGGCAAACATGTCCTATGATATAAATTGACAAAGGCTACAGACAAAGAAATACAATTTGAGAACAGATGGAAGGAATAGTGTTGAACATTTAAAATATATTAAGGCATAAAAAAAGATTCAATGCCACAAACTGGGGTCTTGGCAAAACTGTAAATTCACAACATAACCTTCACGGGAACCAATTTTACAATATGAATTTAGGACCATTAAAGTAGCCATACCTATTGATCCACTTGTTCTGTTTTTTGGAGTTTATTACAGCAATGGAAGAAGAAAGAATAAATCCCAACATATGATTGTTTCTAATGGCTAAAAACTGAAAATAATCTGAATTACCAACAACCACAAAAAGGAAAGAATGATACATCTTATGAACAGATTTTGTTCTCTGATGTACCAATGCCTAGAATATAGCAGGTACTTAATAAATCTTTGTTGAACAAATGAAATTCTATAGGCAAATAAGCTTCTAACCATGAAGATTATAGAAACGTATAAAATGACTATCATATAAAGTTAATGTCATAACATTTACTGAAGGACTATCGTGTGCCTGGAACTGCAATAAAACATGGGGATAAAATTATGATAAAATGATGAACAAAATGGTCTATGTCCACTGGGAACTCAGATCAACAGAAATTTCAGAAATAATCATACCATTCAATAAATGTTATAACATGTTCATGTGTTTACCAATCTTTAGGAGAGGTCCTTAGACTTTTTTTTATTATTATTAAGTAAACTCTATCCCCAACATGGGGCTTAAACTCATAAGCCCAAGATCAAGAGTTGCATGTTCTACTGACTGAGCCAGCTGGGTGTCCTGAGGTGCTTAGACTTTCAATCGAATTTATTTTCAAGTTATAAACAATTAAGCAACATTGATAATATAATTTTCAGGAACAGAACATACGAAAAGCAAGAGATTAAAACAGAGCATGTGATAAAACAAAGGACTACACGTTGTCCAGAAAAGTCAGTAAAAAAGATGAAAAATTTTGTATTTCAATTTGAGTCAGAAATTGTGATCACAAAAATACTAGATGCTATGAGACAAAGGTTAAAGTATATTTACTCTGTTTAAGGAAGAAATTAAGTCTAATAAAGTTTAGAGAGATTTCCATTGAAATGTTTTGGCACTTACAGAAATAAGATTTGGAAAATTGAAAAAATAAAAAATACAATGATATGGCACTATAATCGCCAGCACTTATTGGTAACTGAATCTTTTTCTAAGTCTGCTTAGGTTGGCGCCCCTAAATTTATAATGCTGAAGTAAATATGTTGGTGTGTTTCCTATCACTGCATGACAACTAATTTCCTGGTGGTTTTATTAGGGAAAGATAAACTATGTTAACTGTTTCGGAACTTTATTAAAAATGATGATTATAAGATAATGTTACTATAAGAATTAAATAACCTAATGAATATAAAGCAATAGTAAGTTTGGAGGCTGGAATATAGTTAGTGCCTAACCAATGTTAGTATTTCAAACAGTAAACATTATGGCAGAGTTTATTGCCCCTACAGTAAGGATGCAAATTGGAATTTGGAACTTGGTATAAGAAAATATGGTAATTTCTTAATCAAAATACTTGTAAAAATATATATGCTATATAGACATGCACATGCACACACATAAATACATGCAGGATGAAGATATAAAAGGATAAAAAATTGTCTCTGGGCAATAACTCAAGGAGAAATATTTTAGCAAAAACATAGCACTGCTATGCTTTTATGATAGTTATTGTTAACATTTATAATTCATTTATAGCCTGTTTACTTCCCAAAAGAATTTGAAGTGGCTTTTTTTTTTAAGATTTTATTTATTTGAGAGAGAGGGAGAACAGAAGCAGGAGGGAGGGGCAGAGGGAGAGGGAGAAGCAGACACCCCACTGAGCAGGGAGCCCACATGGGGCTGGATCCCAGGATCCTGAGATCATGATCTGAACTGAAGGCAGATACTTAACTGCTTAACCGACTGAGCCACCCAGGCACCCCTGATGTGGGTTATCATTAAAAAGCATATCTATATTGATATCTATATTGAATAAGATTAAAAACCTTACTACAACTGGGAAAGGAAGAAACCAAAATCCTGGGGTAAAAGGCTTCTTAATATATTTAGAAGCAGGTTATAGGTGCCACATCAGTCACCAAATGGAAGGCCTGAACACTAATTTAGGATCTTCTTAAAGAGCTATACAATGTGGCTGTTGGGGAGGAAAACCTTTTTCCTCTCAAGTTCTCTTGGGTTCTACCTTTGGGAGCCCATGAATTAAAATGACAAAAGCAAGAGAAAAGGCAAGTTTGGTCACACATGAGCTCACAAAGAAAGCTCAAAGCTCAAAGAAATGGCTACAATATAGAGTTTATAGGTCAGCTTAATAGGAAAAGGGAGGGGGAGAAAGGACACTTAGAGAAAAAAAGAAGACTTTTAGGGAAAACAAAGTGGGCCTTGAGAGAGTAATTGGGAGGTGTGATAGTCTTTTGACAATTTTCTTTTATGTCATCTCTCATCTGATTCCTCCAATGCTAGAAGAGATCTTCCCTGGGATGGGGTAGTATTCCTTGAAGGGGGTTTGATGGTAGCTGAATCTTTTGGAAAGCTCTGGTTTTAGGAAGATGTAGGGAGAGCATTTTAAACAAAGCTTCTATTTTACATCTGTTGATTCTTAAACATCTTTAGCACAAAATAATTTTTATGTGACAGGTATATCCTGGATCCCTCCACGTATATTAAGAAAATAGGATGGCAAACCACTAAATAGTCCTGGTAATGAAAATTCTAAAGAATATCACTTTACAGTGATGAACTTTCATAATCATCACTATAATAAGACTATCCTTCAATGTGTTAGAAGCTAAAACTTCTGGAAAATGGGAACTTTCACTGGACATAAAATGGGTTTTTATTTAGAGCATGCTTTACCTCCTAACTTTACCAGTTTTTCCTCACTCTGGAAATAAAGAGTTAGAGGCAAAAACCAAACCAAACCAAACCCAAAAAACGTCATGGAAACACCTATTGATAATAAGGCACTGGTTGCTCTCTTCATTCAAAAAGCAATTTCTGAGGATAATATAAAAATTTATTTTGCATCAAATTTATAGATATCTTAAAATTACCTCTAATTTCTTGGCACAAGATCCGTTAACAAGTGCAACCACACCATCATCAGATACCTAAGCAAAGAATACAAGCAACATGGTACATAAACAGGAAAGATGAAAGTAAAATTTTCTAAATATTATTAATCATTTATATATAGTCTTGTTGCCTCCCATTGTAAGGGCCTATTTAACCAGAGCAATTTCATCTTGGTTAAACAGTGATTTTGTTGTTATGCAGTAAAACTTAAACTGACCCTGTCCCCCAACCCCCCCAGGGGAACTTACTTAAAAACAAGTCTGGGAAACCAGTAAAATATGGCCAACCAGTCCCTGATAACAGAGCCCAAATACCAGGGTGGGTCAGGTCAGATGGAGATAACAGAGCCCGAATGCAGGGACGAGTCAGGCCAGGTGGAGACATCCAATCAGTGGAGCGCGCATACTGTCTCCCTAGCTACCAAGGAGTGTGGGCCCCGCCTTTTGGGCGCCAATTCTGACCAAGGTGATAGGCTAGTTCAAATAGCTACTATGGGGTGAATTGTAGTTCAATTGGCCACCCGTGTGTGACCTAGCACGACTGTGCAGCTTTCTCTGTGTGTTGCAATCTCATTGGCCACCTGTGTGTGGCCAGACTCAACCACATGGCCTTTATTCTATAAAAGTCTGTGAGGCTGGGAGTCGTCGCTCTCTCTGAAAGAAGAGGCCCCAAATGGTTGGTTTGATTCTTGATGCTTGGTGCAAAATAAATCTTTGCTTGACCTTCACTTTGTATCAGTCTCGCGCCTTTGATCACGGACCCTAACATATGGGGGCTCGACCGGGATCAAACGATGAGAACTGAGCCAGCATCAGAATTTCTGGGAAAAGCCTCTGGAGGTAAGATCTCGAGATTTATTCTGTGAGATCCAGTCTGTCTGTCTGGTTGCAGAACTCCAGGGTATACCCACCGGAACTCCAGGGCTGGATTGGATGCGGGGACGCCCCATCCCTCTTCTGGTAGATCACCGGGGGTTCGAGTCCCCCTAGGCGGTCAGGGGACCGAGAAAATCCCCACTGGCCGCTGGACCTGCAGTTGTCTTTGTCTTGTCTTTTTGTTGTCTGTTGTGTTGCATGTTATGTTAGTAGGGGACTGAGAAAATCCCCACCGGCAAGTGTTTGTAGGGGACTAAGAAAATCCCCACCAGCGGCAGGTTCTGGGTAAGGGCCGCTTGGTCTGTGGTTGTCTTTTTCTTGTCTTTTTGTTGTCTGTTGTGTTGTTTGTTGTGTTTGAAGAAATGGGGCAAGCAAAGAGTAAGGGGACTCGAACTTTCATCTCTCCATTCCTCCTAATAGATGTGGGGCTTCTCCCTTTCTCATTTCTTGTGTTAATGGCTATAATTGGAGCCAACTGTGGTTAGTCTAACTCAAGACAGAGACTTTAAGGAATATTCCCAAGCAGCTTCTGAAACTCCCTTTGTTTGGGGGAAATTCCTTGCCTTCTCTGGCCTGACGTGGACTGCCTAGCCCCTCCCCCCTTGCTGGTGGGAAGGCATGGCGTCTGCTCCTCTCTTGGAACTGATGAGCTCTAAAACTGGGAACCCTTTCTCAGCCTTCTGGCGGCACTTTGTTTTTCTGTCTCCCCATTCTGTTTCTGCACCAACATGGATGCAGCCTGCATAACTGGCCCCTAGACCATCCTCGGTGCTTCCTGCACCACGACTCCTTCTTTCTTCACTGTTGGGAAACAAGAAGAGCACCCCCTGGACCTAACACCCGCCCACTCCGGATCTTCCCACCTGGGTCTCAGGTAAACATTTGAAGTGGAGTGGGCCCAGATGGAATGTAAATCAGTATTTGAACTAAGTTAAGTTTGTTGTTTTAATTAGGATGAACATGTCTTTTGAGTTAACAGCAGTAAATGTGAAACTTCAATCAAAGTTTACTGAGTGTCAAATAAGCTCATGTTATTTGTTGAAATCTGTGAGCAAAGAGAAGACTAAAACTGATGGTCAATTGTCTGTCTCAAAGTTTTAATGGGTAATTGTTAAAATAGCTTTCAAAGTCTTTGGTAACCTGAAACTTTAAAGTTTTCTTGGATGACAAATGGAATTGAATTTGTTGGACATCTAGGTCTTAACCAAATGGGATAAAATGCTAGATCACTGGTTGCTAGAACTAGGTTTGTGCTTTTGAAATCTGTTGGTAAACGTGTTTTGTGCTTAACTGATTCATAAATTTGCCTTCTAAGAATTCTGTTGTAACAGTTCACAATTGGTTAATATTTAGTCTTCATTAGAGATGGAGATGTTTCTAAGAAAATGTAAATGCTTTTCTCTTTGCCTGCCCAAGATTGTAAATGAGATCTCTTTGACTCATAAGGCTTTTCCTTGATATGCTAAGTTACTCAGGAAGTACTACTAAACAAATGATAAACCTTGGGTTACATTTGGGTAAATGCTGTAACTACTCTAGAGGTTCTATACATTTCCTAAAGTTTTAATGTTTTGATAAGGGTCATCACTTGATATTTAACCATATCTATTCTGAGTTCTTGTCATTTGTAATTGTTTTAATTCTCTTATAAAATGAATTCCTCCTTAAAGGAAATTCATATGGGAGACTTTCAGGACAAATACAGATCTTCAATATGTTGAAATCCTGGAAGGGAACTGGGTAAGAATCTCCAGAAGTAAGAGCTGCATTCGGACTAAACCAGAATTAATAACATGGGACTAGATGAACTGAAAGATTGTAATGTTGTGTCTCTTAATGTTTTGTCTTATTTTAAACAATTACTGGTTCTGTAATGTTTGCCCTTCCAGACTAGGGAAACTTTTTCTTAAGTTATCTGTAACTTACAGAGATGTAAAAATATTCATTTGTAAACAAATCAAGGCATTCAACTTTTCTCTCTATCTGAACCCTCTAAAACTCAAAAGGTCTCAGCAAGTATTCTTTCTTCCATGGCAATCAGTCATTTGCATAAGTTCATTAAGAATCTGTTCTACTTATAACAGGACACCATTGGGAACACTGGTTATTTTACCAAGGCTTTGACTGAAATGTCATATTTGAAAAAGACTCAGATATGACCAGACAGCTTAAAGGAACTTTATAAAGCCTGGAGCCATAAAGCCCTTTGGAACTGTTGGCCTGATACCTTGCTTACAGAGTTCCCAGCAGCCTCACCAGGTAAGTAAAGAATGTCTCTTCCTGGCAGGTACAGGAACCTCAGGATACTTTGGGCACCTCGGGAAGAGGAATTCACCCAAATCTGACAGGTATAGCAGGCATGCTTGATGGCAAGTACATGGCTTGGCTTCTGGCCTGGAGAGGCTACTAAAAGTTCAACTTAGAGATTCCTTATAAGAAGTTCCAGCAAAGCAGATTCTAAAAGATCTATATGATCACTCACTGTTCTTGCTGAGCTTATATAAATAATTAGGCCAAGTTAAAACTGGACTTGTTTTTCAAATAAATTAGTCCTGATTTGGCTATCTCTGGAAATGAGGGTTATTTTAGAGAGAAAAATTATGTTTTAATAAAACAACTTTAGGGCTATTAAATTCTAGATTTGGTTGTCTTTAAATATTTGTTTACCTAAGCTAGACAACTTGAGGTAAACTTCAGAGAAGTTGCACAATAGCTCGTTTAGATGATCTTGTCTTTCCCAGTCAGTCAGCCCCAGATATAAGGAGGAAACTTCAGAAAATTGAAGGATTTGAAGGGAAGAATCTGACTGAGTTAGTGGGAATAGCAGAAATAGCCGCTGAGGACTATGAGTCATGCTTATGGGGGACGAAAGCTCTCTTACAGACTCTTCATGAAAAAGGTATCGGGTGTCAGCAATGAAAGCACAGCTTTGTCAGAGCCACGCCACTTATTTTGGCTTTGATCTCCATGAGGGAGTGCATTCACTGTCTGAGTCCAGGAAATAGGTGATCACCCAATACCCCCGCCCCACCACGCCCTGATAAGTGCGGGAGTTTCTTGGGACAGTGGGCCACTGCCGGCTGTGGATACCGCGGTTCACAGAGATTGCCCAACCTCTCTATGAAGTGACTCAGGGAGGACTCACTATAGTAGAGTGGACAGCTGAGGCAGGAGGAGCATTTTGGGAGTTACAAACAGTCTTACTGAGTGCCCCAGCAGTGGCCATCCCAGATGTAACCAAGCCCTTCCACTTGTATGTGGATGAAAAGGCAGGGGTGGCCAAAGGAGGTTTTTGTTTGTTTGTTTTTTGTTTTTTTTTTTTTTTTTTTGTTTTTTTTTTTTTGGTCATGATCTTTAAAATTGTTATTGAAGTATAGTTGATATACAATGTTATATTAGTTTCAGGCATAGAACATAGTGAATCAACAACTCCATACATTACTCAGTGCTCACCATGGTAAGTGTATTCACCATCTGTTACCATATGATGTTATTACAATATTATTGACTATATGCCTTGTGATATACTTTTCATCTCTATAACTTAGTTATTTTTAATTGAAAGTTAAAATATATACTTCTTAATCCCCTTTGCCTATTTTATCCATCCCCCTACCCCTCCTTTCTTACAACCACACTTGTTCTTTGTATTTATAAGTCTGTTTCTTTCTTTTTTTTTTTTTTTTCAGCATAACAGTATTCCCAAAGGAGTTTTGACTCAGACTCTGGGGCCTTGGCAAAGGCCAGTAGCCTATCTTAGCAAGAAACTAGATCCAGTAGTGGCTGGGTTCCCCCCTTGCCTCCGCATAATTGCTGCCATCGCCCTCCTAGTGAAGGATGAAAGTAAATTGACTTTGGGTCAAAATCTCATCTTGACCACCACTCACACTATGGAGGGCCTTCTCTGGACTCCACCAGACCGGTGGATGACAAACGCCCGAGTGACGGGGTATCAGGCCCTCCTCCTCAATGAACTGAAAGTGACTTTCCAGCCCCCGGCGGTGCTAAATCCAGCCACGTTGCTGCCAGAGGAGCTGGCTGACCATCTACACGACTGGGGGAGGTCCTAACCCAGGTCACAGGAATAAGGCCAGATCTGAGACACTCCCCTCCTGGATGCAGAGATGACTCTGTTCATAAACGGGAATAGCTACATGGTTGATGGAAAGAGGTATGCAGGGGCTGTGGTGGTTTCTCCTGAGCAGGAACTCTGGATGGTGGCCCTGCCACATGGAACCTCGGCGCAAAAAAAGCGGAGCTGATTGCACTCACCAAGGCACTGCAGATGACCAAGGGTAAGACCACCAACCAACATCTATTCAGACAGCAGGCTGGGTAGAGGCTTTCTCTGCCAAACATGAGATGGCAGGAGTGGTAGCCAAAAAGCTACTAGAGGTTTGGGTTACCTCTTGCGATCGGGTCAGACAATAGCCCTGCATTTGTGAGTTTAGTCTCACAGGCACTGGCCAAGGCCATGGGCACTAATTGGAAACTACATTGTGCCTACTGGCCCCAGAGCTCCAGGCAAGTAGAGAGAATGAACAGGACTCTTAAAGGGACCTTGACAAAGCTAATTCTGGAGACTGGCGGTGGATAGGTGGATCTCCTTCCTTTTGCCCTCCTCAGGGCACGATGTACACTCTACTTAAACAAGGTGACCCCATTTGAAATAATGTTTGGGAGACCCCCCCCCCCACTCTGCCCTTGGCTATAAGAGGTTGCCCGAGCAGAAATGACTGATCAGTCTGTATTCCAGTCACGGCAGGCATTACAGTCTGTCTAGCCCACACGGGGATCCGAACTGCCCACACTGAGATGGAGACAGAGGTGGAACCACGTCCTTACCAACCCAGGGACTTGGTTTGGATATGCCACCACAAAGTGGGAAACTTGGAGCCTCGCTGGAAGGGACTGTTTACTGTCATCCTGACCACCCCCACGGCAATAAAAGTAGAAGGCATCAGGGCCTGGGTTCACGCAGGTTACGTAAAATGAGCCGAGGATGAGGATGCCCCCCAGAGATGGATGCCACTGCCAATGGATCCTGCTGATCGTGGACTAAAGCTAAGAATCAAAAACAATGAGTTCATTGAGTTCATTGTTGCTCCTATTGTTAAAGTATACGTGGGAAATATGGATAATTAGGGCTTAACATACTATTTCTAGAAAAGGGGGGCTCTGCATAGCCCTAGGAAAGGAATGCTGTTTCTGGGTAAATCACACTGGAGTCACTAAAAACAGTGTGGCAGCCATTAAAAAGAGAACATAGAACTGGTTGAAAAGTCAAGGATTTGACTAATCTCCAAAGAAAAGGGGGGAATGCAAGGGCCTATTTAGCCAGAGTGATTTCATCTTGGTTAAACAGTGATTTTGTTGTTATGCAGTAAAACTTAAACTGACCCTGTCCCCCAACCCCCCCAGGGGAACTTACTTAAAAACAAGTCTGGGAAACCCGTAAAATATGGCTGACCAGTCCCTGATAACAGAGCCCAAATACCAGGGTGGGTCAGGTCAGGAGGAGATAACAGAGCCCAAATGCAGGGATGAGTCAGGCCAGGTGGAGACATCCAATCAGTGGAGCGCGCATACTGTCTCCCTAGCTACCAAGGAGTGTGGGCCCTGCCTTTTGGGCACCTTTTGGGCGCCAATTCTGACCAAGGTGATAGGCTAGTTCAAATAGCTACTATGGGGTGAATTGTAGTTCAATTGGCCACCCATGTGTGACCTAGCACAACTGTGCAGCTTTCTCTGTGTGTTGCAATCTCATTGGCCACCTGTGTGTGGCCAGGCTCAATCACATGGCCTTTGCTCTATAAAAGTTAGTCTGTGAGGCTGGGAGTCGTCGCTCTCTCTGAAAGAGGAGGCCCCGAATGGTTGGTTTGATTCTCGATGCTTGGTGCGAAATAAAGCTTTGTTTGACCTTCGCTTTGTATCACTTTCGCTCCTTTGATCACGGACCCTAACACCATTCAGCAAACTTACGTTATAGCCACCCTTATCTTTTTCACTCTTGCTTAAAATAATTGACAGGAACGTGCCAAGTTGTATAACTATGGAAGCATGAGGTTGTCAACAATTCCAATAAAAATAAAAAAAATTAATGAGTCATGGAAAATCACTGGGCAAACACATACAGTCTTAATATTTCAAGTCTCTATTTCATTTACCTGAGTAGCTGAAAAATCAACACACTGCAAAAATGGGCAGTTTTCTCCTAATGCATGTAAGGACACATCAGTAATACCTAAACAGCCACCTAAATCAATGATCTTTAGCAGCCGGCAGTTGAGTGCAAGAGCAAGGACTCCTTCATCAGTGAGATTGCAGCATCTTTTCAAAGAAGCCTCATGCAGGTATGAACAAGAGGAAGCCACAGCTTTTATTCCTGAGGGAAAACAATTATGTATCAATGAGCTATACATGTATATACATGAGAAATGCGACTGATTTTCATTTTAGCAATCACCGGTATTGATATATCCAACTGTATGTTAGCCTTTTGCGAAGTAGTCCATCTCTGAGGATATACTTATTTTCCAGTGATGCTTTCATCATTAAAACTCTCTTGGAATATTTTGGGAATTCTCTACATAGGCTGTAGTATATCATTGGGAACATCTGCAGGGAGTGGCAAGCCTTTATTGTTGACAACTAAATTTGCCTTTAGGAAATAGCCAAAAGACATTCAGAATCAAATTAGATCATTAAATAATAGATTAATCTCCTTTTTATTAAAACAAAAGTTTTAAAGTAATAAAGTTAATTTTCTTGTGGAGTCTAAAGGGAAATCAAAAGTTAAACTGCCCAAATGTCTTAGGTGATTGTTTTCATGCTTATTCTTAGGGATCATACTTCTGCCTCTCCATTCTCTCTTCCCCTTTTACATTTAAATCCAATTAAAACTGATGTAAATACACCTTGGAGACTGGTACATGATAATGTACAAAAATAAGAGTATTTTTTTTTAAAGATTTTATTTATTTATTTGTCAGAGAGAGAGAGAGACAGAGAGAGAGCGAGAGTGAGCACAAGCAGATAGAGTGGCAGGCAGAGGCAGAGGGAGAAGCAGGCTCCCTGCTGAGCAAGGAGCCCGATGTGGGACTCGATCCCAGGACACTGGGACCATGACCCGAGCCGAAGGCAGCGGCTCAACCCACTGAGCCACCCAGGCGTCCCAAAATAAGAGTATTTTTTGTGAGGCATTATTTGTGTAAACATTTAAAAACTTAGGCTTCTTTGTAATATTAAGAATAGCCTAACTGGCTAACCAAGATGATCTCAAAATACAGCCAACTACTCACAAAACTTCCCAGAAACCTAGCTAGTCAAATAAGTTCCTCTTTTTTTAAAGGGTTATTTATTTATTTGAGAGAGAGAGAGATTGAGAGAACTAGTGGGAGGAGGAGCAGAGGGAGAAGCAGACTCCCTGTGGAGAAGGGAGCCCAACACAGGACTCAATCCCAAGACCCTGAGATCATGGGATCATGACCTAGGCCAACACAGATGCTTAACTGACTCAGCCACCCAGGTGCCCATGTCCCTCTTTCTGATATTGAAGGAAAAGGTTAAAATCCTTTATTGATTTTTTTTTAAAGGGTAAAAATCCTCTAATTCATGTAATAATGACACTGAAAAATGTGATTTGACTAGCTATAAAAAAACTATGCACTGTAGGGGATAAAAAGTAGCATAGGGAATATAGTCAATGGTGTTGTAATAGTGTTGTATGATGACAGATGGTAGTGCCATCTTAAAAAAACCCAACCCATAAAAACAAAAAACAAACTATCATTGTACAGACTGATAGGAGAGTGCCTAGAAAATTTAATCTGATAGTGATTTAACTTTCTGTGGTAATTTTACATCAAGAAAGCCTTAACAGAGTATGAACTGGTCAATAGAAAATCAATTTCAAAGTGTTCTGAGCTCTCTTACATAGATGTCCATCCATGTTTACTTTAAATATGTTTCTCTCTTTCTCTCTTTTTTTAAAAAAGATTTACTTATTTATTTGAGAGAGAGTGTGAGAGAGAGCATGAGGGTTGGAGGGGCAGGGGCAGAGGGACCGGGAGAGAGAAACCCTAAGCAGAGGGTTCACTGAGCCTGGAGCTGAATGCCATGCCAGGCTCCATCCCATGATCCTGAGATCATGATCCTGAGCCAAAACCAAGAGTTGGATGCTTAACTGACTGTACCACCCAGGCACCCCCTACTTCAAATATGTTTAAAATATAAGTAGTGACTTAGTGTATCATTTAAATTCCAGCAATGGTTGTAAGTTGGAATTCTAATTTGGATTCTTTATCTTAGCTTGAATATTTCTATTGAATAGAAATATTCTATTCTATTCTGTTGAATATTTCTATTTCTGCTTCTTTAACATCTTCATACTCACTTTTGACATATTCACTACCCCTTTGTTGTTCCAAAATTATACTAGATGGTGAATAGTAATCTATCAATTTATTCAGTGTTAATAAACATACCTTTTGAAGTTATGGAAATCCTGTTTTCTTTTGAGGAACTTAAATTTAATTTCTTTAGTTTTCTGCAGTTACACAGGTGCAGGAGAGCAGTATCTGAAATATCACAGCTTCGCAGATCTAGAGTTTGGACTTCAGGGTGTAAAATCTGTAAAAAACACATGATTGCAAAAAATTAATTTTTCCTATAAATATAAAAGTTTGTTCCATATTTAGTGTTTTGGTGGTCATGACAGACAAATGGTGGATGGAAAATATAGCAAAAAATACAAAAACCTAATCTGAGTGCAGACACATACATAAAGCAGGAAAAAATACGCCCACTTTCAATTGGAGGTACAGTTTCTAGTGCTGCCAAAGTCTTTACTGGGACACATGGCTTTGATGAGATAGCTGGTACAGAGTAAGGACCCACCAGATCTGAGAGGTGGTGGTGGCATGTGCTTATCTTTTTCCAGTAGTTCTGACTGTTATTAGAGATCCTAGCTATGTGCCTCTGCTCAGCAGGTATGAGTATTTAGTCTCTATATACTGAATGGTTATAGGATGTGAGTATCACTTTTCTATAACATTTATGTTCTTCATTCTTAATGGGAGTAAGTACAAACAAATCTAGTATTACTGATTGTTTACTTAAGGGCAAAAAACAGCAAATTGATTTCAAAGTGTTCTGAGCTCTCTTTCTTGGCTTTTCCTTCCTTCCTTCCTTCCTCGCTCCTTCCCTCCCTCTATCCCTCCCTCCCTTCCTTCCTTCCTTCCTTCCTCCCTCTCTCTCTCCTTTCCTCCCTCTCTCTCTCCTTTCCTCCCTCCTCTCCTATGTTCCTTCCTTCCCTCCTTTAGAATGAGGGGATGGGAAGGGGCACAGGGAGAAGAGAGAATCTTAAGCAGGCTGCTTTTTACTTTTTTCCATAGTAGAAATACCTTTACTTTTCTGAATAAAAGTAATAAAAGTACTAATGTGAAAGAATCAGACAATATTGAAAAGTTATAAAAATGGTAAAATAACTATTTCTATTTATTGAGCACTTACCAGGAAGGATACAAAAAGTGTGCTATGTACATTATGTCATTTAATATTCTCTCTCAAAGACAGACAGACTCCCTGAAAGACTTTTTATAAATCTGGGAATTGAGGCACCTGGAGCTTAAGTAGTAAAAACAAAGTACATAGTCAAAAAAAAGCAGAGCTAGGATTGAAAAACCAGCTCTTTCTAATTCTAAAGGCCATGCTTTTATCCACTATAACTAAAATGAACCATAATACCAATACACAGAGAAAAACATAGTATTAGTTCTGATTTTTTTTTGAGTTAAAAAAAAAAAACTGAAGAAAAATGGGATCAGATTATATATACTTATAAGATGAACACTTTTTACAAAAATGATTTATTGTGGTTGTGTTGTGTTCTGTTCCATTCTATGCACACACCATAACATATTACATGCATTCTACACTGACAAATGCTTCGGCTGAACATTTAGGCTGATTTAGAAAGCAATACAGTATAGTGATTAAGAACATGTCTTCTGGAGGCAGTCTACCTGAGTTTGAACCCTATGAGTGTGATCAAGCTCTGGTTTTTGTATGTGTGTGTGTGGCCCTCAATGTCCTCATTATTAAAATGTGGATTATATTTTGTGAGAAGTAAAGGTGCCTTGCTTGTAATATATACTATATATAACTGTCAACTATTATTATAAATATTATGATAAGCATACTTGTGTGCTTTCCATATTTTTTTGGAATTAATGTCAGAAGTAAATTATAATTATATGAAGTGATGGAGATGTTAAATAATCCTACTGTGATAATCATTTTGCAATGTATAAATGCATCAAATCATCATGTTATATTGTTTGCTTTAAACTTATACAATGTTACATGTCAGTTATATCTCAATAAAACTCAAAAAAAATACTAGGACTAAAATTGTTGAGTCAATAGTAAGCACCTTTTTAGGACTTTTGATAGTTAATGGCAAGCTGTCCTCCTAAAAGATTTTTGTTTTGTTTTTTCTTTAATCAATTTACACTTCAACCAACAGGAGATAAAAGTAACTATTGACCACACCACTGTCCACACTGGGTATTTCTATTTTTTTAAGTCTGCCAAACTGAAAGAAATTGTGATTTTTATTACTAATTAGTTTAAATTTCCTTTTATATGTTAATAGGGATTTATATATTTTCGAGTATTTCCTAATTCTTTTGTTTTAGTATTTGTTTTGATTTTTCTTATTGGTTTATAGGGATTCTTTAAATTGTCAAGATAACAAATCTGTAGAATTATATGTGTATTGCAAATATTTTTCCTACTTTGTTATTTGATTTTGCTTCTTTTTTTTCTTCTAGATATAAGGAAGTTCATATTGTTAGGTAGTCAAATCCATCAATTTTTTTCTTCTTAGTTTCTAACTCTGGTGTCATGTTTAGAAAGGTCTCCTCCAGCCAACTATAAAAAGATTTAGGAAATATTTCAAAGAGAGCCATCCAATGATGCATGTAACTTTGTAATGGATGTTAGATCTGGCTTTTTGAATAATTTCATAAGTAGGACTTGTAAGGATGGAGAATAAGGGAGAGCACCAAATAAATCATATTTGTTTTTTTCTATGTCATTCATTCCTTAGCCCTTTTCTATTCAGGTAAAATTAGGGCTGGTTTGTTTTGTTTTGTTTTGTTTTGTTTTTCAGGTAAAATTAGGTTTAAATGAATATTAAGGATTGCCATAAAACAAAAATCTAAGCTACTGCAATATAGGTTAATGGGTGAGAACAAAATGCGGATGGTGGGGAAGTGAAGAAAACCACCAGTTTTCTGTAGTGTCATAAGGATTATTCTGTGGATCACACACAAACTAGATACATCCACAGAACCATTAACAGTAAGAACCTGGGGATATTATTCTACCTCAATAAAGCTAAGCAGACAACAACACTAAAATGTCTATGTTCCAGTGCAAGCTAAATGAAGAAAACAAAGCATTACAGATACCTCGGGTTAATGTTAAAAGAAACACTAATGGCACATCTAACTGCAATTACAATGTTACAGGGACAGTCATGTGCTGGAGTGCTATCATCAGATTCCTTTTGATCATAGACTTTGGGCAGAATGTGTAGTAAAGTCAGCAACTGGTTAGAATCAGAGTTTCTGTAGTAGACAAGCCTAGTGTAGACTAGAGTCTTGGCAGACAGTGATGATGGCTGCAAACCCATTTTACAGTTAAGAGAACTGAGGCTCAATGTTGGAAAGAGTGGCAAAGCTAGGATTTCAGTTCAGGTTAGAAGGCCTTACTATACTTACTGCCTTATAGAATAGCCAATTAGCCAAGCTTAGTTGGCTATCTGGAGGGAAAAAAAAGAACCCCAATGTTTTGTTATATTTTAAAATTATTACTGAGCCTACTGTATGCCATTGCTCCAAAAATCTGAAACCACATCTAAACAGTAATATGTAATATGTTTGCTTTGGAATTTTACATACTCTTTTTTAAAAAAATTTTTAGAAGATTTTATTTTTATTTATTTGACAGATAGAGATCACAAGTAGGCAGAGAGACAGGCAGAGAGAGAGAGGGAATCAGGCTCCCCGCTGAGCAGAGAACCCAATTCGGGGCTCAATCCCAGGATCCCAGGATCATGACACCAGCTGAAGGCAGAAGCTTTAATCCACTGAGCCACCCAGGTGCCCCACAATTTTACATAATCTTACCTCACTTATATTTGAATCTGTTATCTGCCCCTGGGTACTCATTATTTTAATCAGTCTATCTTTTATGTTGGGAGGCAGAGGCTTAATGTCTGTGATATATCTGGAAATGTTCTTCATGAAGCACCACAGGCATCTGAAATACAAATACAGTACAGTAAATTACATGGTATTGGTACCAATTCCAAATATTTATGCTCTTCACTTGCACTCAGACCTTTCATAAACTGGGTGTATATTTGTATCAGTATTTGCAACTAAAGCTTGCTAAGATTCGAAAGTCTAGCATGAGCTCTGTTAGGCTTTGAGGTTCTTCCTTTACATTTTTTTCTCAGCATACCTCATTTACTAAAATGCATTCTAAATGACAAAAAATCACAAAATTTAATTTAATTTAATTTAAAAAATTAAAGTAAAACTTCAAAAAAATGACAAAAAAAGTTTTTCCTTGGTCAGTATAATTCCTAAGACACAGTTACTACCTAGACTAGTTAGACAGATTAGTAACCAACCAATATGTAATTAGTAACCAATTAAGTATTAGTAACCAAGATCAGTTGTGTATTCCAAATAAATATTGAACAAGGGCCTACTGATTGACAACTTTTATCTATCTAGCAAAGTTTTCACTATTTTTCTTAAAAATTATGTGTATAATGAAATGATGAAAGAACTACAACTGCAAAGATTACACAAATAGTACACATCATAGAGATAACAAACTTAGTGCCAGGATTGTGTGTGTATAAAGAAGAGTTATCAGAGCAGGCAATAATCAAGGCCCATCTGACCCACACATCCCCTATGTAGCCTGAAATTCCAACTATCTGAGAAAATCATACTTTAAACAAACAAAGATAAATTTTCCTTAAATCTCTTACTACAAATACCTCCAATGATATAATTTGACATTCATTAATTTCCCTCTCCTATCCTTCCCCATTCCATTAGATTATTCCTCCCACTAATATCTAGTGTATATTATTTTTTTGTGCTTTCATACATATGCGTGTGTGCACACACACACAACACAAGCACATTTAAAGAGATGGGGGGGATCACTGTTACCTAAAATGGCCTCACTGTATACTCACTTTTCTATACCCTCTTCCATTCAATAATGTCTTACAGAATTCTTCAAGGTACCAAGTATAGTTTTAGTGCTCCCTTAATGGCTATATAATATTTCACAGCATGGAGGATTTATTTAGTTATTCTATTTATGAACATTCCACTGTTTCTAGGACATGTTAACATATGTTGTCAAATTGTTTTCTAGAAAGTCAGTGACACTTCATAATTCTATCAGCAGTACTAGAGTATTGTATTCCTCTATCTGTCAAGCAACAGGTTCATTTTATTTATTTTTCCATTTATTTCCATTGTCTTCATTTCCCAGTCCCACCTCCCACCACTCCAGGAATCCATTCTAATTTCTAGTGTGTACCCTTTTGTTGTATGTGTCCTTTTAACATGCTTGTTGTATGTATTTCTAATTTATATATCTGGCATTTGTCATAGATTTGTTTAGTTTTCACTCACCAGTGTTTTTAAGATCTACATACTCTTTTTTTTAAATATTTTATTTATTTATTTGAGAGAGAGAAAGCACAAGCATAGGGGAGAGGGAGAAGCAGGCTCCCCAAAGAGCAGGGAGGCCAACATGGGGCTCGATCTCAGGACCCTGGGATCATGACCCAAGCTGAAGGCAGATTCCCAACCCACTGAGCCACCTAGGTGCCCCTACATCTACATACTCTTAAATATTGGAAGATCTCATGTGTGAAAAGTGGTATCTTTTATTACTTTAATTTGCATTCCTCTAATTACTAGTAAATTTGACATCTTTTTATGAACTTGTTGGCTCTTTAGATATGCTTTTCTTTAAACTGTCTATTCATATCCTTTGCCTATTTTGCTATTTTTGACTTGAACGAGTTGTTTTTGTGACTAAATATATGACTGAATTTGTATTTGTTCCATAAGTATTCAGAGAATATATATTCTCAGAGAGATGTAATGTTCTAGTATATTATGTATGTCTAGAAATATCTCTCCATATAAGTATATGTATATGCACACAAATATGTGAATATATATGGTTGTTTGATAGCATTATCTAATTCTTCAGTTATTTTTTTTCTAAATTAGCAGAATTCTTTTTTTTTAAAGATTTTATTAATTTACTTTAGGGAGAGAGAGAGAGAACATGAGCAGAGGGGAGGAGCAGAGGGGGAGGAAGAGGGAGAGAATCTCCATCAGACTCTGCACTGAGCATAGAGCCTGACAGAGGGCTCAGTCTCACAACCCTGAGATCATGACCTGAGCTGAAACCAAGAGTCAGACACTTAACTGACTGACCCACCCAGGTGCCCCTAAATTTGTAGAAATCTTAATTTACAATACCTATATTTTGAAATCAAGTTTTACTTTCATTTACTTGAGTTTTTGCATTTTGTACATTACTGTTTTATAATGAAAATTTCAAAAATACATAAAAATAAAATAGGATGATATAATATCCCTGTACCATAAATCTAGAATTTTAAAATTTATTATTTATCATATTGTGTCAGATATCTTTCTTAAGACATAAAACATTTCACACTTGATTTTAGCCAAAAGGATGAAAAGTGATGACATAAAACATTTCAGAAAAAATAAAGCTTCCTTTGCACACCTACATACGTTTCCTCTTTATCTCCTTTTGCAGAGGCAACCACTAGCATGAAGTTTTTAAAAACAGCTTGTGTCCATGATTTTATTTTTACTCCTAAAGTATATATATGCATAAATGAGACTACTGTTTTCTGTATTTGCAAAATGTAGTGTATTAAGTTTCCTACCATGGCTGAAATTGTCAATTGTCCTCGTAAGTGACAATTTTCCTTTTCATAAGACTTGGGTACTAGTTGCAAATTCATGATCATTATAATTTCTTGGGCAATATTCCTTTTATCATTAAGTAATATCTCTATCCATATTATTTTTCACATCAGATTGTATTCAGTCCAGTTTTAAAGTTGTTCTATATTTCTTTGGCTTCTTTTGCTAAATTTTTAATAAGGTTTTATTTATTCATTTGAGAGAGAGAGCATGAGAAGGCAGAGGGAGAGCAAGAAGCAGACACCCCACTGAGCAGGGAGCCTCATGCTGGGCTCAATCCCCAAACCCTGGGATCATGACCTGACCTGAAGGCAGATGCTTAAACAACTGAGCCACTCAGGTGCCCCTCTTTTGCTGACATGTTTACAAGACTTGCAGCACTTGGGTGGCTCAGTGGTTTAAGCCTCTGCCTTCAGCTCAGGTCATGATCCCAGGGTCCTCGAATTGAGCCCTGCATTGGGCTCTCTGCTCAGTGGGGCACCTGCTTCCCCCTCTCTCTCTGCCTGCCTCTCTGCCTACTTGTGATCTCTGTCTGTCAAATAAAAAATTTTAAAAATAATAATAAAAAATATAAGACTCATTTGCATTATTAAAGATAGCTATGATTTGTTCATTTTAATTTTCCGTTTATTCATGTCAATTTTCAATGCTGCATACTATTCCATTGTTTGAACACTACAATTTATCTTTTCTACTGTTGATGAACAGTTAGATGGTTCATAATTTACTATTATGAATAATAGTCATATGAGTACTCTTGGACAGGTCTTTTGTTGCATGTGTGCCTGTTTTTTGATCAAGTATATATCTAGGCATAGAACTACTTGCTGATAAGGTATGCATATATTTAGCTAAATGCAAAATAGTTTTCTGAAGTGACTGTACTGATTCCTGGAACCCATATCCTTGCCAACACCTGGCATTGTCAGTCTTTTTAATTTTAGCCAATTTATAAAGGTAGCAATGTAATGTGACTTTAAGTTTCAGTGCCTTATTATTAATTAATTTGAGCATGTTTTCATTTCCTTATTGTTCATTTGGATGGTCTCTTGAGGAGTATCTGTTCAAGTATCCAGCTTAGTTTTCTTTTGGGTCTGTGTTTTACTTACTGATATGCAGGAGTTCCTCTTATATTCTGGGTATGAGCTTTCTGTTGGTTATATATGTTACAAATATATTCTCCCATTCTGTGGATTGCCTTTTCATTCTCTTAATCATGTCTTATGTTGAAGAGGAGTATAACCTAATGCAGTCCAATATATTAATATTTCCTTTATGGCAAGTTTCTTTTGGGTTCTCTCTTTTTTTTTTAAAGATTTTATTTATTTATTTGACAGACAGAGATCACAAGTAGGCAGAGAGGCAGGCAGAGAGAGAGAGAGGAGGAAGCAGGCTCCCTGCAGAGCAGAAAGCCCGATGTGGGGCTTGATCTCAGGACCCTGGGATCATGACCTGAGCCGAAGGCAGAGGCTTAACCCACTGAGCCACCCAGGCGCCCCCTTTTGGGTTCTCTTTATGAACTCTTTCACTGCCCTAAGTTCATGAAGATATTCTGATATGCTTTCATCTAGGAAAAGAATCACTAAGTGGGGAGCCTGGGTGACTCAGTCATTGGACGTCTGCCTTCAGCTCGGGTCATGATCCTAGGGTCCTGAGATTGAGCCCTGCATTGGTCTCCCTGCTCAGCGGAAAACCTGCTTCTCCTTCTCTTACTCCCCTTGCTTGTGTTCCCTCTCTCACTGTGTCTCTGTCAATAAATATACAAAATCTTCAAAAAAATTTTCACTATATATATTGTTTTAACTTTCACTTAAAAAACATTTTTTTTTAGCAGCCAAGAATACTATATCCAGCTAGGCTATCACTGGAAATAGAAGGAGAGATAAAAAGCTTCCGGGACAAACAAAAACTGAAAGAATTTGCAAACAGCAAACCAGCTCTACAGTAAATATTGAAAGGGGTCCTCTAAGCAAAGAGAGAGCCTAAAAGCAGTAGATCAGAAAGGAACAGAGACAATACAGAGTAACAGTCACCTTACAGGCAAAACAATGGCACTAAATTCATATCTCTCAATAGTTACCCTGAAGGTTAATGGGCTAAATGCCCCAATCAAAACACACAGAGTATCAGAATGGATAAAAAAACAAAGCCCATCAATATGCTGCCTACAAGATACTCATTTTAGACCTGAAGACACCTCCAGATTTAAAGTGAGGGGGTGGAAAACAATTACCATGCTAATGGATGTCA